CTTAGTAATCATTAACATCTGTACAGGGTGCTATGGGTGGCAAAGAACACACCTAGAGTAGCTCATTTAATGTTAGTGACTGGGACAGCTAGCTGTGCAACCTTGGGAACATCACCCAACCTCTCTGGGCTTCAGATTTCTCCTTTGTAAAGCGGAAGGGATAACCGGACACTAAGTCCTCTGCCTCCTCTCTAGGGAGAATAGCTTCCCAGTGGGCCCAGTGACTCCAGGAGAGCTGAACCTTTGTCTGAGCCCCTTCCCTCAGCCGCATAAGGCTACTGTGTAGGGCTTCCTAGGAACACATTTTCATGACAAACAAAGGACACTCTAAGTATGAGACACTGGTGAGTGACCAAATGGTAACTCCATGCCAAAGCCATGTGACATGATAACTTTAGCTGTTGCTGGCCTTAGGGCCTGGTCCTCCCCGGCATCAAGGGGGTCTCTATGAGGTGAGGCCCCACGCACTCCTTGGGCTTTTAAATCATTCTCTGTGCTCATTCATCACAGAGAATGAGTCTGTTATCCAATACCCGCACTGCGTCCACAGACTGATTTTAGAAAAAAAAAGGGGAAGAAAATGAGCAACCACTATTTATTTTCATAACTGTCAGCCACTGACAAAAACTAGATTTCTGCACCCAAATATCAGCCCCCCTCCTGAGGATTTTTATTTTCCTTGATTCAGCTTCGAGCAGAAAAGAAGTATTCCTTGCTCTGGATCAGAAAGCGTAGTATTTCCCCCACTCTCCTGCACCCCGAGTATTAAAATTCTAGTCCACCAGTGACCTCCCACAATTTCAGGAGCTTTTTCTCAGGTGGAGAGGACTGGACACTCAGTTTGCTTGGGGGGAAACATTCTTGTCCACTGGGCGGAGCCACATCTGCTCCTGTAAATGAAGCCTGGGCAGCTATGGGCAGCTGCGGCCCCTCCGTGCTGTTCAGGGTGAACACGTTGGGCTCCATTGTGATCTGACAGGGCTAAGCAGGCCATGGACTCTGGGGAGGCCCCACAGAAAGGACACTGTGATCGATTTTCTTCCCAGAGACGTTAGCTGAGTGGGTTGTGGCCGGGCAGGGTTGGTTGGGGTCAAATCACCCATTATAGAGCCTTCCTTTGTGTGGGGCATTGCTGATTGAGTGTAATGACTGAAGAACTCCCTAACTCCAAATTAAGTAAAGATTGAGTCATTTTTCCACAGCAGTGTAGACTGCCAAGCTGAACCACTTTATCAGACAACACTCTCTTCCTCCTCACTCTTTCTGAATTATCCTGGAAACTCAGGTCAATGCAGGGTGAAGATTTCCTGTGCAGGAGAGAAAAGGGCGCCTTCAAGAGCTGCACTGTTTGGATAATTTCCTTGATCTAAAAGGAATTCAGAAAGTAGACTTGCATGCTGAGATGGATGTAGACCGCCTGTCCTATCTGGGTTCCAAGGGTCACAGGAGCCCCAGTTCCAGGAACCATGAATATTGGTGGCAAGCAGGGTCCCCCAAGCTGGAGCAAACACTGGGGACCTTTGAGCAGGGAGGGAGCCCTGTCAATGATCTGTGGATTCAAGGAGTGTCTCATCTGCCAGGAGGAGCAGCCCGCCCCTTCCGGCGCCTCCCGGTCCCCACCTCACTCATGTGCCTGCCCTTGCCAGCAGCCGGGATCCCGGAAGCCCTGACCCTCTCTGAGAAATGTGGCATGGCCTCTACACTGTCAGTAACAAAGAGACATCCCTTTGATAACCAAGTCATGGCTGCTCCTGGAGTCTTCCTGACGCTTTATTTACCTGGGTCTCTTTCTTCTCTTAATAGCCCTCTCCAGCTTTGGCTCCACGGGGGGTCACAGCTTCAGCTGCAGCCCAACTCCAGCCCCAAGCTTCCAGAACAGGGTTTCCTCCTCCAGAGCAACTTGCTGAAGGCTTCTTTGGAGGCAGAGGTACTGGCTGGAAGAAAGCCTTGAGCAGTGGAGGTTGGGGATGATCATCCAAGATAGTTCTCTGCTCAGGCCACAAGTTTCTTTAAAAAGCCACCAAGCACTTTGGGTCTAGGGCTGAGAACACTCTGCTTGGGGCCCTGTTGCAGGTGTCATCTGCATCATCCCAGGGACACACACCTGCACCCAGAGGCTGGAGGAGCACCTCCCACCCACTGACCCCCTGACCAGAGCGGGTTTCCAGGGGGTAGGCACCCAGCAAAGAGCTGGCGGAGGCTACACCATCAGAATGAAAAGACACCCAGGCTTCCTTCCCGGAGCCACCTTCCACCCCTCTCTGACTGCTCCTGCTGCCCTGAGCCTGCAGGAACCCGCATGGACCCTCTCTTGGCTGAGAGGGCCACCCAGATGCGAGGGGACACCTCCGCTGCAAGGAGCTTGTCCAAGTACATCATCATTGGCTCCTTTCCCCTCACCAAAGACCTCAGACCCCAGGACTATGGGTGGGGCCGTGCTACTGCCATGAGGGGCCCATTTTTCATGGAGGAAACTGATCAATGTCCCTTCCCCAGCCCTCACACTCCAAACCCCAAGTGACCAGTAGGCTTCGATGAGTTCTGGCCAGCTCTGGGGCCTGGTGTGACCCCTGGGGCCAGATCAACCCTGGCCGCTCCCAAAGCATTCGGACAGGCAGGCCAGAGCCCTTTCTCCAGGGCAGAGCACAGAGACACAGCTGGAAAACCCGGACAATTAGCCAGCAGCCCGGCGGCCGAGCCATAAAAACGCAGGAAGCGGCCACCGCAGGGCGGAGGGGATGGCTGTCCCCAATAAAGTGATTGTTCCAAAGAATGCCCACATTCCGAAGACGCAGTCTCAAGCCTGGGCCTCGGCTTCCAGAGCTGGAGGCTTGGGCGGGGGTTATGGGGGGCGGAAAGAGGGATTGTGTCTCCCAGGAAGAGGAGGAAGATGTTTGCTAGATCAAAAGTCTGCAGTGCCCACCACTTAACCTCCCACATTCCCGACCCATCAGGACTGCAGACTCCTGCCCGCCTCTTGTATACCCCATCCCCATTCAGTGATTTGGATTCTGTAATTTGTTTTTTTGCAATTTTTTCCTATTTTATTTCTCCAGGGATGGTATTCAGCTGTCCTGAATGCAGCCAGCCCCCGGAGGTCCACAAGGGTGATCTGCTCTGGTCTCTACCACTAGAGCACCCAGTTTGCTGCCCTACCCCCTACATTTAACTTTCCTTTTTAGGAAACACCGAGGACGGGAGGAACCACAAGCAGGAGGTCCACAGCCCTGATCTTGCTTGGGCCTGGCCTCTCTGCCCTCTGTAGTGGGGTGGATGTCATCTTGTAAAACAGAGAAGATGACAACACCCATTTATTCCCCATCCAGGGAGAAGTGAGGGTCTAGGGAGATAAAGGACACTGGAAGCAGCTCCAGAGATGATGAGATGAAGTGACAAATGCCAGAGAGCGCTGGCCAGCGAGAACCGACAGGGGCAGACCGGGAGGAGAGTGGCAGCGCACCGCTGGTTCCTAGAGCGCTCAAAGCCAACCAGCCAGCCTGCGCCGCCCGCGGCCCTGGCCGCCGCAATCGTCAGATCCGAGTCGGGCAGCGCCGTCTGGGTTTGAGAGAGAAGGCAGACGACGACCGCGGACCCACTCCCCGCTGCCGCACAACCGAGATGGGCGCCTCCGGAGCCGAATCTAGTCGCCCTGCGCTCCTGTCCCTGGTGGCAGGTCCCGAGCCAGGCTGAGCAACACAGAGTCCCAAGTCACCACTGCCAGCCCTGGCCCCTGGGACACTGTGCTTCAAAAACCAAGGAGGATCCTTTCTCGATCCTTCCCCACTCGGTGCTTTTCAGAAGCAATCCTTAGTGATGGCCCCGGGTTTCCTACACATGCCCTGGAGATGAAAAACAATTTTCTCCAAAGAATGTTTTACTTCGCAAATGACAAAGTGTTTTTAAGCTTTTATTAATCATGACAACATATAAAGACCTACTAGCAGAAATTCTAGACTCCGTTTTCGTTGATTTTTGACCTCGTATTTAAGTGTGATAAACATACATGTGTAACTCGCTGAACTTTCACAAACACCAGACGCCGTGTATCAGCACCCTGCTCAAGAAACAGTATGTTACAAGCTCTGTAGGAAGCTGTCCTGCACCCCTCCATTACCGCCCTCCAGTAGCTTGACTTCTCCCACTGGCTCCTTGGTTTGCAGTCAAGACTTTTGAATCTTGCGTGTAAATGTTTTTTAAAAATTAATTGCTTTAATTCAAATTAAATCCCAAATGTGAGATGAACTCAGAGATGCAACCTGTAGCTACAGTCTTAGGTTATCTCGTGTGAAGGGCAAGCAGTTTCCTTGGGGAAAAAAAATAAATGACTAGCGGTGACAGTTGTTCAGGGTGCGCAGTCGTTTTGACCAGAGGCACAGAGCGTGAAGAAACCGGCCCATTTCTCCTGGCCCTCCTCGTCACCTCCCAAGTTGGCCAGAAACGTTGTCATCAAAGCAATGGTCTCCCTTTTCTTTTCTCTTTGGGATGGAAGGAGCTTCTTGACAGCCCCCCCCCCCCGCCCTTTCCTGCAAAAGCGTAAACACGTCGTCTCTAAACTAAGATTCCCACCAAGATAGCTCTTTCCCCTTCTCTTTTGCAAGTCTCTTGATTTCATTCTTTGAACCTGTGATTGGAGGTTAAAGAGCACCAGGTTGGAAGGAGGAAGCTCTTAACAATAAAGGTTTGAATATTTAGCTGTGATGGGTCGTTGCCCTCTCGCGAGCTCCCCCTCCTTATCTTTTAAAATGCAAATCATGTTTCGGGGGGTTGCGCGCCGGGTGCGCGCTGCGCCTCGACGTCTCCAGCCATTGGTGTCTGTGTCATTACTAATAGAGTCTTGTAAACACTCGTTAATCACGTAAGGCCGCCGGCCTGGGGCTCCGCACGCCAGCTTGTGGCGGGTCTTCCCCGCCTCTGCAGCCTAGTGGGAAGGAGGTGGGAGGAAAGAAGGAAGAGAGGGAGGGAGGGAGGGAGGGAGGAGGCAGGCCAGAGGGAGGGACCGCCTCAGAGGCAGAAGCGCCGCGAGGAGCCGGCGGAGCACCGCGGTCTGGGGCGCAGCCACCCGCTGTTCCTGTGCCCCCTCGACCCTTCCCCATCGCGGCCCCCAGCAGCCTCCAGCGTCCGTCCCCAGGCAGCATGGTGAGGTTTGCTGTCGGGCCCTCGCCACCATGTACGTGAGCTACCTCCTGGACAAGGACGTGAGCATGTATCCCAGCTCCGTGCGCCACTCTGGTGGCCTCAACCTGGCCCCGCAGAACTTCGTCAGTCCCCCGCAGTACCCGGACTACGGCGGCTACCACGTGGCGGCCGCGGCCGCTGCCGCCGCGAAC